TGGTAAGACCGGTCTTAGACCGGTTAATGGGACCGGTCCTTGCGGTCCTCGGTCCATATTCTGAGGACCGGTCCGGATCGGTCCTTTACGATTTATAGCATATTAATGTTAATTTTATTTATAAAATATTAAAAAATTAGAGTTGGATCGACCCGGTTTTCATCTCTCTTATGGAATGAACCGCCCATAAGTCAGTCCTTAGACCTGTCCTAATGTTTTACTGTAACGAATGAAAAATCGGAATGGAGAAATAATGAGATTAATAAGGCGCAGTAATTGTTTCGTATGCAATGATTTTATTATTATACTTTTTTATTTATTAAATTTATACAATTATTTTATAAAATTGATAATTTTATATATATACTTTTTCTAATATGTTTAAACCAATCCTTGGACCAATCTTATAAATCGTTCTGGTAAGAAAACAAATTTTGACTGGACCGGACTTGTAGAACCGAATGGTACAAGACCGGTCTTAGGACCGGTCCTTGGACTGAATTATGGACGGTCCGGTCCAAAGAAAGATAAAAGACCGGTCTTTTTGGACCGGACCGGACCGGACCGATCCAACCCTAATCATTGGTAATATAATTTATTCCCATCCCGTTAACCCAATTCCCATTCTATTTTTATACTTAAATATTTTTTATAATTTTGTAAATTTAATTTATTTATATAAAATTTGGATTGAGTTTATAGCACGAAATTGTACAAAAATGTTTCATGTTTTAAGAATAAAATCTTTTATTTTATAAATAATTTATATTTGATTAAATATAGGCCCTTTTTTTTCATATATAAAATGAACAATGCTATAAGATGGACCATTACCCTCAATAATTGGTTTTGATCACACGCAGCTTCGACAATTGCTACACGTTATTATAACGATAACATTAAAATCATTTCAAGTAAGATAATGATTAATGGCTCTATGTTTTAACTATTATCTGGCCTCTAATTCGTTTAAAATCGATAATTTTATTAAAGGCTCTAATCTTTTGGCAACTATTGATGCTCATTATCTATTGTTCTAGGGCTGGTAATTGATTCAAAAAGTGATCTGGTTGCATTTTCAGAAATCTGCATTGCTAACAAAATAGCACTATATCGAAAAACTTTGTATTCTGTGATTGCATTGAATGTTTTATTTACATAAGAGCTGCATTAGATAAACGACCAAATTCAATAGTATTTAACGGAATATTTGAAATCCTCCAACCAATAAATCGAATATTATCTTCTGCTAATGGCGTAGCATAGAGGTATTATAATCCTTAGGAATTAATCTATGGATTAATTAGTCATTGATATCCGATATTAGGCTGGAATTGTAACGAAACCAAGCTAACAAACCAAATACAAACTATTTATTACATTCACTGTGTAGTAAGTTTTCACGAACAAATCCTTATATGAAGACAAGAATAAGGTTGAAAGTGTAATATTAATCTTTATTAAGCTATAGAGTTGTAAGTCTAGTCTCAAGACTTATATCCAAAACTTCTTCGGCAAAATTTTATTCGAAGAACTCTGTCGAATTATGAAAGATAATATAAATTTAATAAGTTATGAAAAATAAATTAAAAAATGTAAAAGAAATAAAATATATTTAAAGCGTATATAGTTGATAAAGATTTTTATATTACTTCTAATTTTTATGAAGATAATTACTGTATAAAACTCATATGACAAAACTAAAAAGATCAGAAAAAGGAATATTAAATAAAATAGGTAAATTACAAGATCGAAAGATTATCGACTGCGCTCTAAGGTTGGATATCCAATACGACTCGGTCGACTATCGGACTGCACTACAAAGATGGGAATATCCAATAGGGCTAAGGTTGCGTGAGCACCTACTCATGAAACAGTTTTTGAATCACATAAGGAAAGGGCATAGCAATTTCTTTTTCAGAAAATCGCAGACCCTTACCTAGTCACGAGCAGTTGTACCGACCCTTTTAAATTGTAGACAATTAAAGTCGGTCTCCCCATCTTTATTGGAAATATAATTAAAAAAAAATGATAAAGTTACGCAAATCAAATGATTGTATACCTCTCTTTCTCATTTGTCCACTTCATTGTTAACTAATAAAATTAAGAATATTGAACATTAATCGTGCTGAGTTTTTAAAGTGGGCGTGGTTCATTATGAGATTTTTTTTTATTTTGTGAAAGGGTAACGAAGAAAAATACATTTAGCTTGGTCATAATTTTGTATTGGAAGTATAAGGAAAGGTGTACTCAAAACTTGTCCGCTTCTTATTTTCTTTTATAATGGGAAAAAAGGATAACTACTGGGAACAATTAAATACGAGAAAGTTTAATAATATATATATATATATATTATTTTAAAATTTATGTTGATTGATTTCTAAATTTGGCCTATTGGCTTTCATTCGATTTATGTTACTCCTTAAAATAAAATAAATATGTTATTTTTTTAAATACAAAAAAAAGAGATTCTTATTGTCGTTTTCATACATTTTTCTTCTCGATCATAATGCAATTCTTTAAAATATTTGATATTTCTTGACATTTTACAATAACTGCAAGTTGCCAGACTAGTAACATAATGTTTATAAACTGAATAATAAAATTTTTATATTGATCACTGAGAATTTCCGCTGAAAGTCATGGCAATTATATCTTAGACTTAATGTTATATAAATTTTTTTTCAAAGAACTCATCACATGATAGTTTCATTGAAATATAAAGTCTACTTTTCTCCTTAACCATTTATTTTTTTAATCAAAATATTCATATTTATTTTTAGTCGTCCATATTGGCTTCTTAAAATACAAACAAAGTAAGCTTTATTGAGTATTGTACTAGCTTAGGTGATAATACATCCAGGTGAGTTTTATTGGGGTTTTACTTGTTTAGGCGAAGATTCGGCGCAAAAAGGTTAATCCCGCGTTCTAACAAGGTCAAGTTTACATATCGAAAACTCACAGATTCTTACTATGTCCTTAAGATTTTTGCAAATGAAATCGTGTTAATAGGACAGATAACAGGGCGTTAGGCACTGAATAAAAGTTAGCATATTCAGGGAAGGCAGCAGCATAATTTTTACCGATATCATCATGTAAGTATATAATTTCGTCTTGTCATCTTAGGTCCGTACCATGCAAAACACGATAGGTCTACATCGTGTCCACAAATGTAATTATTTTCATTTAAATCGCGAGGAAGTCTCGTTGGTGATATGGTGGCAGCTTTGTCTGAATATAGGGTCTTAAGCGGTCCTAAAAGTCCCAAGAAAATTACAAAGAATTAATTTATAAATTTATTATTAAACTTGTCTATTATACTTAGCGATCCCATCAAAATTGCCATTTTTTGAATATCATTTTCGCTTTTTTAAAATTATTTATAAAATATTTATGACATTTTTTTGATGGGGTTACTTATTATAGAAAAGTGATTAGACTTCTCTAGATATAGTAATCTCTTAAATCGTAAGGATTGGTTAAGGACCGTTTTAACATCCCTACTGTAGTGACCATCTAATTACCAGTTTAATTATAATAAGATGTTCTTCGTCTCCTTCCAAGAAAATGTAGGAGATGATATACGGGGCATATATAATGATTAACGGAATGGTAATGACTTATCACGAGTTTCAGATCAAAAGCTCGGTTATTTATTTTATTGTTAATTTCTCTCTTTTGATACCTCCTCTAACACTTCTAACAACTATTACTTATTCATTACTTCCTACAGGTCCAAAAGGTATGACGAAAAAAGATAGAAGTTTATACCATCCAACGCACTAATCGATAAGAGGTAGAGTTGAGCTTGCACTTTAGGCGCGGATATTCGGTCATATAGGGTTTTATTACGATTTATGGGAAGCAACTATTTTATTTATTTCTCCTTTAAACATGTTCAGGCGGGAACTAAAGTGTCAATGTAATTTTGCTTCTCTTTAGCCACTATATGTCCGGTCGTGTCCAATACTTTCCTTTAAAATTACTCTTATTTAATGATGTGGGTTAAAGGTTTGAGTTTCAAACGGAGAAGCAACTTCTAATGGTATCTTATGTATTAAGTTAAGAGCGACGGCTTAGTACGGGGATACAGACGTTCCCTAGGAGTTGCCTATCCATCCTCTTAGAAGTGCTTGTCTTACACGTGAGTCCTTCGAGTAATTGGTCTTTTATCACACGCCTTTTTTTGAGGAAATAACTTAACTTTTGAATACCCATTGTTTACATTAGTGAATTTGTGGTTTTTTTACTTTATCTTTTCTTCACTTTCGATACTCTCACCAGGTCCGACTGACAAAGAGAGAAGTTATTTATGCATACCATTCAACGCATCATTCGACGTTCAGGATGAATTCTCAAGAGGTAGGTTGATTAGGATTCCTTCTATGCATTTCTACTATTATGCAATTCTATTAACTATCCTTTGCAACTTTAGGCTTTTATAACTTCTACATTCATATTACAAACATATTTCTATCTTTTTACATTATTCATTTTAACAACAGAGAACGATGATGTCAGTATTATCAAAAAAAGCTATGTTCAACTACCTGTTCGAAGAAAGGTTAGTTCTTGATTGATGAGGCAGGTTGAGTTTGCATTTTAGACGCGGTCGTTCGGTGAAGTTCATATAGGGCTTCTTGGCTTAATGTAGTTTTAAACTACTGGATATCTAGCATAAAATGTATGTAATTTAGATTCAGAGGTACCGTGTCTCTTGATCTCTTTGCTATTTTGCTAATTTATCTAGGAATTGATCTCGATCAAATTATACAAAAATAGTAAGAGTTTATGACGTTACTTCTAATCGTATTATTTACCATAATTATGCCTCAGTAACTCAGATTATATCAAATATTTTTCAGGATTTACGTTAAATATGCAAAACATTTATTTATTTTATTAAAGCTATGGCGTTGAATATTAAAAATTTATGTAACAAAGTTGCGGGAAAAACCCTAAACTTTTCAGAAATTGTTTCGACAGTTTCGGGTTTTGATAGGATTCGATAGTTTCAATGGGTTTAGTTTCGATAACAACTTTGCTAATTTAATAAAATTCGACAGTTTTTACCAGGTCTATTGTATCACAATCGTAGAATATAAAAAAATTTTTTTTTTTTTGCTTTTAAATTTATCTAACGCAATCCATATAATAATGAGCAGCAACGAATGTGCAAATCGAAAAATTGTCAGACAACCGGAAAAAATGTTTGGAAACATTTTATAAAATGAAAAGTTCTTGGTATTATGAAGCAACATGTAAAGCTTGTATAAAATTTGGACAATAGTTGAACCTGCATTAATGAAAGAACGTTTAGCAAATCATTGCATTCAGATAGAACCTTCAGTTATTTTCGAATATTTAAATATAACAGTTAATCGTAATATTAATGATGAAAGCTAAGAAAAGGATTGATTGTGCGCTTTAAGTGTAGTATATCTTCATGAATTATTGAACATCTATTTTAGAAATCTTTTAAAAGAACATAATTCTGCCAATAAATCACCAATTTGCGAATAACTTACTAGAAGTTTATTAGAGTAAGAAATGTCAATTAGTAATAATAAAATCAATAAAGATTTAGAGCAGCAAGAAAACTTAACATTATGTAAGAACTTTTTATTAAGAATCAAAAAAATTTTATTATTTTTTTATCATAATATTATTTTAAAAAGCTTTATATGAATGGAATAGTGGTAAAAACCATTCTTATTAAATTTTCTAATTATAATATCAATATCAATTATCAGATCAGATTTTTCAAATGAATCTTGTAACGGAAATTTTGTCCAATTGAATATTGGACAATGTTCAGTTATATAGTCCAATAATCATGACTGTTTATGACTAATTGATATTTTAGTATAAAATTTACCTAAGAAAATGAGATTAGGCTCGAAAAACTGAGCAATCAAAAAGTGTAATCTTTTCGACAAAATACAAAACAATTTCAGCGGTTTTGGAATATAACAGATTCATAACGGTTTTGTATATTCTATTAATCGATCAACATTACAACGGTTCGTTAAATTAAATGGAGTTGGAGAGAACTAATGAATACACTCCCTACCCAAAAGTATTAGACCACCCCGTGAATTGCAGATCCGCAGTAATTATATGAGATTTGCGCAACTTAGAAAATATTTATTGAAATTTGATTATCGAAATGATCATCATCATCTC